TCCCTCTTTTAAGAGAGGGCCCATCCCCTTTGGGAAAAAAAAAAAAAAAAAAAAAAACCTATGCAAAAAGTTTCTAGCTATTTCTTCTTCCAGGAAGAGAACACCAGCAACATTCTGTATTGGTCCAAAGTGACTAGAGTCACACTCTGGCATACTGCCCTGCTCTGCAATAGCCTCAGCCCACATGTGTACTCTGCCCTCACACACAGAGGTCTTAAATTTAAAATTACTCAACAATAAGATTCCATTTAGATTTACATCCTCAACTCATATTCCCTGAACTTTCTCTGCAGCCCATTCACTGCCATATTTACTATGACTTATCTCTAACCCAGCTACATTCATTCTCTAACCTGATTTTGGCTTCTACACCAACAGAAACCAAGGAGTTGGCTGATTCCTCGGACACAGATCGCTGAAGAGCTGGGATTGGCTGTTTGCTGTTATCGATTTCTGCTTCAGCATCCTCTTCTGCAGATTGTTCTTTGATTTCTGCTTAAAGAGAGGGGTACAGAGTCATTTTTGTACATTAATCACTGTTGAATTTATATATAAAGCATACATGATAATAGAAAAAGAAACCAAAAATTACATTGCTCCAATATTATAGGAAAACCATGTACATAATTAAGAACTTCTTTATATTCATTCTCTAAAGCAAAATGACAATCAAAATTATGCACTCCATGGTACACTTTTCCTTGTGCCCAAATTAGGATAGACCCAGAGAAGTTTCATCTTAATAATAATTTCTGAAAGTCTCATTTTCAGACAACCCACAGTAGTGCAACAGTAGTACAATCTACTCTGGGAATGCTAGAAGCATATGCAAGGCTGGAAGCCATATGGAGGATCAGGATTTGGTTCCTAAATCAACCTGTACACTTAGGGCACGTGTGCCCTAATCCTGGCTGGCTAGGAAGGGCTAAGGGGAGGATCACAACATAAAACCCTATTGAGTGTACTTGTCTGTCTGCCTGTCTCTCTCTCCCTGCATTTCTCTCATGAAAGAAATAAATAAGTAAACTTCAAGAAAATCTTATTTTCAGGATTATAGTTGTTGGCATATAGAACAAATATATTTTAATGTGACTCATTAAAAAGTTTCTTCACAAGCCTATGTGACAGACCCATTGCTAATACCATACTAAATGGGGGAAAGCAAAAAGGTTTCCCACTAAAAATGGAAACAAGATTAGACTACCTACTTTTCCCACTCGTATTCAATATAATGCTGGTAGTCCTGGCCAGTGCAATCAGAAACGAGAGCAAAATAACAAGTGTTCAGATAGGAAAATGAGAAGCTAAACTGTTTCTATCCAGAGACAATATGATTATGCACATTTTAAAAAAAGGAATTCATGAAAAAACTCCTAGAAGCAATAAATGAATTTGGTAAAGTAGTAGGTTACAATAACAGTATACAAAAGTCTTTTTTTTTTTCTTTGAGAGAGAGAGAGAGGTTTTTGCTATAGGGTACGTGTGCTCGCCAGAAAGACAGGGAGACAGAAAGCAAGAAATCATCTCCCGGGGGGATGGCCACAGAGCAATCCCTTCTCCTCCATTCTCCTCTTGGGATCTTGGGCATACACACACACGTGCCCAGCGTGAGTTTAAGCCACAGAGTCCGGGACTTGAACCATGGCTGACTACATGGGAGTCCAGCAACATAGTCGTTACACCAACTGATGGTCCCCAGTATACAAAAATCTATAGCATTGTTATACGCTAGCAATGAGCATACTGAGACAAAACTGAAGCAACTTCATGTACAATAACCACAAAAAAAGCAACTTCATGTACAAAAACCACAAAAAAAAAAAAAAAAAAAAAAAACCACACACAAACCGGGACCAGCAGTTAGCGTAATGGCTATGTCGCTGGTCTCCCACACAGTCGACCACGGTTCGTGTTCCGGACCCGGCGGCTTAAACTCACACCGGGCGCGTGTGCATGCATGCCCAGGATCCCGAGAGGAGAATGGAGGAGAAGGAACTGCATCGTGGCCATCCCCCTTGGGGAGGTGATTTCTCACTTTCTATCTCTCTTGTCTTTCTGGCGAGCGTACGCGCCCTATAGCAAAAACCTCTCCCAAATAAATAAATAAATACCACAAACCAACATTTGTATATAAATATATGTATATTTATAGAAACACATTATAAATGTAAATTTACATGTATACTTTTTAAAATATTTTGGTGGTTATTGTACATGAGGTTGCTTCAATTCTGTCTCAGTATGTTCATTATTCATGTATAACAATGCTATAGATTTTTGTATACTGATTTTGCAACCTGCTACTTTACCAAATATTTATCACTTCTAGAGTTTTTTCACAAATTCCTTTATATATAAATGCATACATATGAAATATATATAATATAATATAATATATACATAAAAATATATAAAACCAAAAAGAATTTTCATAAATTCCTCTCTATATATTATACATATTTATATAGAGAGAATATATATGTGTGTATATATGTATATGTGTGTGTGTGTGTGTGTCTGTGTGTGTGTATATAAAACCAAAGAAGTAAAAGACCTCTACATGAAAAACTACAAAAAGCTGGGGGAAAAAACTGAGTATGGTACAAAGAAATGGAAACACATCCTATGTTCTTGGATTTGAAGAATCAATATAATCAAAATGGCAGGAGCTTGAATTAATTTACATATTCAATATGATATAATCAAATTACCAGCAACATACTTCACAGAAACAGAAAAAAAAAAAATCATATACAATTTGACTAGAATCATTAAAAAAAAAAAAAAAAATCACCAAAGCAATACTGTGTGAAAAGAATAAAGCAGGAAGGACTAGCAGATGAAGTAATGGTTATGTCGCTAGACTCCCACATAGTCAACTATGGTTCAAGTCCCGGACCCAGTGGCTTGAAATTCATGCCAGGCGTGTATGCATGCCTGTCCCAAATCCTGAGAGGAGAATGGAAGAGAAGAGACTGCAGTGTGGCCATGCCCTCTGGGGGTGATTTCTCACTTTCTATCACTCTGTCTTTCTTTGGCAAGTTACACGCGCCCTATAACAAAAATCTCTCTCTAAAAAAAATTTTTTTTAAAGAATAAAGTAGGAGACATCTTTACTACCCAACTTCAAAATATATTACAAAGTGGCAATAACAGAAACAGCATGTACTGTCACAAAAACAGACACATCAACCAATGGAACAGAAAAAGAAAATCCAAAAATAAACCCACAATCATACAGTCAACTGATCTTTGACAAAGAGTACAGTGGGGAAAAGAAAGTCTTTTCAGCAAATGGTGCTGGAAGAACTGGATATCCACCTACAGTGAAATGAAACTGGACCCTATCTCTCATCATTAACAAAAAACAACTCAAAAATAGACAAAATATTTAAATGTAATGCCTCACACTATATAACTACTGGTAGAAAACTTGGGAGAAACTCTTAGAAACATTGGAGTTCACAAAGATTTCTTAAATTAAACCTCTAAGGCACAGGCAATAATCCCAAAAATAGACAAGTGGGATTACATCAAGCTAAAAAGCTTCTGCACAGCAAAGGAAACAACAATTACAGTGAGGAGATGGCCTGCAGAATGAGAGAAAATATTTGCAATTTATGCCTCAGACAAGGGATTGACGACCAGAATACAGAGGGAACTCAAACAGCTCACCCACAAAAAAACCCTAATAATCCAATTTCAAAATGAGCAAATGAACTAAATAGACAACTCTCCCAAAGAGACAAATGCCCAAAATGCATATGAAAATATGTTCAACACCTCTTATCATAATGGGAATGCAAATCAAAATCACAATTTTATCCCCAGTTAAGATGGCTATGAACAAAAAATAATGAACAATAAGTGCTGGCAAGGTTGTGATAAAAAGGGAACCCTCACAACTGTTGTAAGGAATGCAAATTAGTTTAACCACTACAGAAAACAGTATGGAAAATCTACAAATAGAGCTACCATACAACTAAGTAAAGTAATCCTACTACTTGATATTTACCCAAAGGGTAGGAAAATGCTCGGTTGGAGAGATACTTGCATATTCATGCTTACTCCAGCATTATTCACAATTGCTAAGACATGGAACCCATCTAAGTGTCCCCAAGTTGACTACTAGATTGGAAAAAATGTGGAACATATATTCTATGGAATACTACTCAGCCATAAGAAACTAAAAATCCTGTAATTTCATTCAAAATGGGTATGTATAGGAGATTTAACGCTAAATGGAGTAAGCCAGACTCTGAAAGGCACATACTGTATAACCACACTCAGTACGTACTGAATGTCTTCGCTCTATAGCAGAAATGGGAAGATATGAAGATATGATAGTAGGGAGGATAAGTATAAATAGCACAGACTGGGGACCAGCAGTTGGCGTAGTGGCTATGTTGCTGGACTCCCATGTAATTGGCCACGGTTTGAGTCCCGGATCCAGAGACTTAAACTCACACTGCGCACATGTGCGTGCGTGCCCAAGATCCCAAAAGGAGAATGGAGGAGAAGGGATTGCAGTGTGGCCACCACCCCCCCACCCTGAGGGGTGATTTCTCACTTTCTGTCTCTGTCTCTCTTTGTCTTTCTGGCGAGTACCCATGCTCTATAGCAAAAACCTCTCCAATAATAATAATAATAATAATACATACATACCAGAGACTGTAAGGGAGGGCAATGGATGGTAGAGGGTGGGTGCGAGGGGCAAAGGAAAGAAATACTTAACAGAAGAAAGTGGAGTTCTCAGTTGAGGGCCAGCAGGTAGTATGGTAGTTAAGGTAGGTGCTGGATCCCACATAGTTGATTCTGCGGTGCGAGTCCTGGACCCAGTGGCTTGAAAAACACGCTAGGTATGTGCATATGCATGCTCAAAATCATGAGAGAAGAATGGAGAAGGGATTGAGGCATAGCCATCTCCCTAGTAGGAGGGGCGATTTCTCACTTCCCCCTCTCTGTCTATCTCTCTCCAATGGCTGTATAAGCCCTATTGCCAAAATAAATAAATAAATAAATAAATAATAAAAAATTTAAAAATCTGAAAGGGAAAAAAAAAGACGTAAAGTTCTTTTTTGAAAGTGATGTAGATGGTAATAACCTGATTTGATGACCATGTACTACAGGCATACTCTGAAAATCCATATTTGCACTATAGAGATGTTGGTGTCAGAAAAGTCACGATGCATTTTTAAACAGAAAAACTATGCCATGAAATATACATCTGGAAGGAAGGTTACAAATGCTATAAATATATTATCCTGAAACAAACAAACAAACAAACAAACAGGCAGACATACAGACTATGCCATGACTTTTCCAACAATCTAACACTATGACGGAATGTATATAATAATATAAAAAAGAAAGACGTTTCTTCACACTGTATAAGTAGAAACTATCTTTAAAACAATAATTACATATTGTAGTTAGGAGTCACTCTAAAAGCTAACTATTTTTAAAGAACCCACCTTAACTGGATTGTAATT